CCCGGTACCTTAGTGTTAGGTGTTCAGATGGGATGGACTTCAGGCTGAACAGCAGATTGGCAGGGAAGCCCTCCCCGCGCACACACACCTCAGGAGAGTTTGTAACTACCAGACACTGTTCCAGCAGCTATCCTTGAACTTGCTGCTCAGTACTTACCCTGCAGCCACCTTCCCAGTTTTTCCTCAGTGATAGGTGGGTGCTTCAGCTTCCTGGGGCTGCTGTAGCAAAGCACCACCAATCACGTGGCTTAATCCAACAAAAATGTGCTGTCTCCAGTTCTGGAGGCTGGAAGTCCTAAATCGAGGTGTTGGCGGGGCCATGTGTTCACTCAGAAGCCTCTAGGGGGTGAGGATCCTTCCTGGCCTCTTCTAGCTTCTGAGCCCTGGGGGTTCCTTGGCTTGTGGCAGCACGACTCTAGCCTCTGCCTCCATCTTCACGTTGCCATCTTCTCTGTCTCCATACAGCTTTCTCCTCTTCGTGTGTGTGTCCCAGTGTCCCCCTTCTTGTGAGGACATAGTTGGGTTAGAGGAGGGCCACTACAGTGACCTCATCTTAACTTGATCCGTCTACAAAGGCTTCCAAATAAGATCACATTCACAGGTATTGGGGCAGGGCTTTCAGCACAGCCTCTTGGGGGATGCAGTTCAACTCGGCAATAGCCAGTTAAGTGGAGGACCAGTTACTGCTCAATGCCCATAAAGGTCATTCAGCATAGTTTTTGAGGCCAGTTCTGATGAATTTCTTCAATCCCATCAATTGCTCAGGAGGCATCATCCTTCCTGTTTCACAAAGCTTTATCTTTTTCAGCATCCTGTCCTTGTTGCCAAAACGTGGCAGGAACTGAGGGATCTGAGCTCTTACCCTACTTACAAGCCAACAAGTTATTCTGCCACAGTTTCATGGACGCTGATAGAAGATATGACTCCTAGGTCAGAGAGAAAGGACTTTATTACTCTTCACACAGCCAGCAGTATGAGTTTTATATTCGCGTAGGTTGCCCTTCTCCCCCAAGTCCCACAGGAGTGACCAGTGGCTCAGGTGAATGCTGTGTGTGGGGCTGGGTTACCTCACAGCTGAAGAATCTCTAGCCTAGGAAACCCATATCCTTCATAATGGGCTGTGAGCAAGCCTGCCTGACCTCTGTCCCAGAGGCGACGTTACTGGATGGGACAGCAAGCAAAGCTTTCCTGCTCCCTCCCGAGGGAGCCGTTGTCCCTATCTTCCCATGCGCTTGGCGCTACTGCAAACATCCTTGGAAGATAGTCCAGAACCAAAGCCTTCAGTTCGTAAGGCTACAGTGTGGAAACACGAGACTCGTGGAGAATCATCTCCCACAGTTGTCTTTCACAGAGCTTATTAAATTGTGAGAATTCTTTTTATATTCTCCATACAGGATCTTTAACAAATATGTTTGCAGATATTTTCTTCCAGTCTGTGACTTTCCTCTCCATTAACTGTATTTCAGAGTGCACAAGTTTTTAAGTTTCATGAAATCCATTTTATCAATTTATTGCTGTGAAGGCTTTTCCTTTTTGTGTGTTAAGAAATCTTTCACTAACAGATTTTCTTCTGCTTTCTTGTAGAAGTTTTTGGTTTTACATTTAAGTCTGTGATCCATTTTTAATTTTTTGTGCATGTGATACAAGGATATGAGTCAGGGCTTATTTTTCCCATATGAATACCAGTTGTCCAAGTACTACTGTTAAAGATCATGTTTTCTTCATTACATTCCCTGGGAACCTGTTTTCAAGTCAGTGGCTAGGTGAATGGGTCTCTTCCATTCATCTCTGTGTGTCCCTTTACTAGTCTCCTGTCTTAACTTACTGCATCTTTACAGTTAGAGTCAGGTAGGATAAGCTCTCCAGTCTTGTTTTTGCCTCTCCATGTAAATTTTATTATCAGCTTATCAGTTTTTTCCAAAAAGCCTACTAGGATTTTGATTGATCTTACTGATTTTTAAATTCATACATTATGTGTTTCAGGAACAAAGAAAACTCCGCTCCACTAGATGAAAATAGCACAGGAAAGAGTGAGGCCAAAAAAAGAAAGATTGCAGAAACTTCCAATGTTATCACTGAGTCGTTGCCATCCGTGGAGTCAGAACCTGTTGAAATTGAGGTGGAGATTGCCGAAGGCACAATCGAGGTGGAAGACGAAGGCATTGAAACCTTAGAGGATGTGGCTTCAGCCAAGCAGTCCATCAAGTACATTCAGAGCACGGGCTCCTCTGATGACTCCGCCCTGGCACTGTTGGCAGACATTACCAGCAAGTACCGTCAAGGTGACGGGAAAGGGCAGCTCAAAGAAGATGGCTGTGCGTCTGACCCCACAAGCAAACAGGTAGAAGGTATTGAAATTGTGGAACTTCAGCTGTCACATGTGAAGGACTTGTTCCATTGTGAGAAATGTAACCGTTCATTTAAATTGTTTTACCATTTTAAGGAACACATGAAATCACACTCCACTGAGAGTTTCAAGTGTGAAATATGCAATAAAAGGTATCTTCGGGAGAGCGCGTGGAAACAGCACCTCAGTTGTTACCACCTCGAAGAAGGTGGGGTCAATAAGAAGCAAAGAACTGGGAAAAAAATTCACATATGTCAGTACTGTGAGAAACAGTTTGACCACTTTGGACATTTTAAAGAGCATCTTCGAAAACACACAGGTAATTAGCACATGCCTTATGCTAAAAGTATGTTTTTTCCAACTCACGCCCATCTGAATGTCTAAGTCCCCTTTTATTAGCACCATGGAAGCCATCGCCCATAGCTTCTAATGTGCAGGCTGAGTGCACATTGTCTTTATAATAATAGCTTTTGAAATATTGATGCTTTAAAAGCAAAATCAGTATCAACTTTGAAAGTAATTGTCACTCTTGCACCTTGTCAATTTTTATATTTTTTAAAAAAATGTGAAGTACAGTTTGTAATTATTTAAGGGTCATAAATTGTGAAATTTTAATTATAGTGGAACTTCACAGTTACTAATTTTACATTTCCTGCCTTAAGTTAACACCTTACATAGGTGTCTACATTTATAAACAGTCCTGGATGTGTTTGTGTCTTCCTGTACATTTGGCCGTCTCTTTTGGCTGGTAGGTAGACAGTATATGCCCATCTCCCTCCGTCTCTCCATGAGCAAGTGTGACAGGCCTGGTGGTCAGCCAGGGACACGAGAAGGGAAAGGTCTTTATCCTGTGAGCCATCCCAGGCATGAGGAAGAGTCGGAGGGAGTCTGCCTTAGGGCCTCTGCCCATTCCAGTTTTGCCTCTATCCCCTGAGCCTGTTTTTCCCTGTCAGACTCCCTGTGCTCGTCCCCACCCCCCAAGCATTCTTTGCTAGATCTCTTGGGCCAGATACAGGAACTGCCACCAGTGACTTGCATCTTCGGGAGTCCCTGACCCACTACAGCAAAGGTTTGGGGAGAGCAGTTGCTGCAGTGTGCTGAGTGCCAGACATCTGTACACTTGTTTCCATTTCCCTCTGTGTGACGGCTAAAGCTGTTAGGAACAGACACAGTGCGCGCAGTATTGCTGCCCCACGTGGTTCAGAATCTCTCTCTCCTGTGCTAGAGCGTAGAGAACTTTGGATGAAATTTTTTCATAGATCCTTCACTGTTTGGAATTGCTACTTGAAACTGAAAAACCAGATAGATTCAAATAATGTGTATCCCTCACTATTCAGATTCTTGGTATTAATACTCAGGAACTGAATAAATATGCAAATAGCAAGGGAACCTCATACTAAGGCTTAGTATAGATTTAAGAGGCTTTTTTTCTCTTTTTAAATTATAGTTGACATTTAATATTTTATATTAGTTTCAGGTGTATAGCATAGTGGTGAGACATTTGTGTCATTTACAAAGTAATTCCCCCCTCCAATAAGTAATGGTACCCACCTGACACCATACATACTTACTACAATATTATTTACTATATTCCCTATGCTGTACTTTACACCCCTGTGACTATTTTGTAACGATCAGTTTGTACTTCTTCATCCCTTCAGCTTTTTTTACCCAGTCCCCCAACTCCCCCATTTGGCAGCCATCAGTTTGTTCTCTATCTATGTGACTTTTTCTGTTTTGTTTGTTTATTTTTTGTTCTTTAGATTCCACGTATGAATGAAATCACATGGTATTTGTCTTTCTTTGTCTGACTTAATTTCATTTAGCATAATGCTCTCTAGGTTCCATCCATGTTGTTGCAAATGGTAAGATTTCATTCTTTTTTATGGCCAAGTAATACTCCATTGTATATACGTACTAAGCTTTTTTATCCAATTGTCTATTGATGCGCACTTAGGTTGCTTCCATAGCTTGACTGTTGTAAATAATGCTGGTTCCATGTGTACCCAAAAAGAATGTATATTCTGCTTTGGGGTGAAATGCTCTAAAATTACCAATTAAACCCATCTCGTCTAATGTGTCATTTAATGCCGCTCTTTCCTTGTTGATTTTTAGTCTGGAAGATTTATCCATTGATGTCAGTAGGGTGAAGTCCCCTCCTGTGACTTGTGTTACTGTCTATCTCTCCCTTTATGTGCATCAAGATTTGCTTTATATGTTTAGGTACTCCTATGTTGGGTGCATAAATGTTTCAAGGGTTGTATTTTCTTGTATTAATCCCTTTATCATTATGTAATGTCCGTCTTTGTCTCTTTCTGTAGCCTTGGTTTTAAAGTCTGTTTTGTCTGATAGAAGTATTGTACCCCAGCTTTTTCCCCCCTCATTTGCATGAAATATCTTTTGTATTCCTTTGCTTTTGTTCTGTATATGTTTTCAATCTGAAGTGGGTCTCATAGACAAGCATAAACACAGGTCTTGTTTTCTTACCATTCAGCTACCCTGTTGTCTTTTGATTGGAGCGTTTAATCTATTTACATTGAAAGTGATGGTTAGGTATGTAGTTACTGCCGTTTTATTATCTGTAGTTATGTTCTTGTTCTTAAAGAGGTCCCTTTAACATTCCTATAATACTGGTGGTGACTCCTTTCGGGATAAAAGGCTTTGAGGTGCTAATTTGGGTAACTAATAAGAATTTATGGAATCTTTAGGGGAATTACTTTCTTACTTCCAAACATTACATGTATGTACCTGTTATATATTTGGAAACTGCCTATAGTTGTAGTTCCTTAAAAAACAAATATCTCTTTCACTGGCCTATTGAAAAACACTTTTGTGGTAACTGGAGTCGTTTAGCAAAAGGATCAACATACTAGAAGCATTAAATTGGCACATAAGCGTTACTTTGATAGGGGTTTCCAGTACCCCACAGGTAATCACTCATCTATTACTTCCTGATAGGGAAAGTAGAAGTTACTGTCTTTTTACCGAAAACTACCTAGTGACTTACCTGTTTGTAAGTAAGACAGCACAGGCCACTTTGGAAGTTTTAAATGTGCCTCCTGAGTCGTGCACTTTGTATTTTGGATAGAACAGTAGAATATAGAGCTAAAGGACCTTGTTGAATGTTTTTGTTTTTTCTTTCAAAATGAAATGAGGTAACTTAAGTAACTTAATTAACTTAAGTAGTTGTTACAGATGATAGAACCAGATGCCCATTGGCAGACCAGTTTAGCAAACTGAACTTTGTTCTCTTTTTAACCTCAATTGTTGCACTAATACTAATGATTAGTGACTAGCTGCAGATGTGATCAGTGAGCTGGTGAGTTCAAGAGGAGCACAAGTAAACAGTTTCAAATTGTGTTTATGTTAATAAAGGGTGGATCGTTCTTTCTGTTATAACAAACCAAGTGTAAAAATAAGGAAACAATCCTTTTCCTGTTTCCTGCCCTCAAAGTACTCATAATGCACCCCCTCAGTTTCATGGTTTTCATACTTTTATTAGTTCAGCGATTTGTTTCTTGTACATTCTTAAAGCAGGCAGTGCACTCTACAGCTTAATTTACAAAACTCTGGCTGCTGTCTTCTGCATTATTGTGTTTCCATTTGGAAACTAATAGGGAAATGCCAACCTGCTAGGTCATGGAAATAAGGAAATTTGAGAGTCCCTGCCCTCAAGGCACCGTCACTGTGCGGCAGACTGGGTGCTGGTAGAGGAGCCCAGAGTCTGTGGGGTGCCTGCCTGGGCTCTTTGTTTATGACGGAAGAGATAAGGTGGCTTTCTAGAGGCCCACCCTGTGGTGACTCCCATAGGAGCAGGAGTGAACCCGGAGGTGAGCGGTCCAGGCAAATGAAAGGAAGCAGCTTGACCAGGGCACTGCTAGTAGGTTTTATGACTGGAGGGTCAGGTCCAAGTACGGGGAAGCCAGGAGATGCAGCCATGTGGCATGCACTAGGCGCCTCCCAGTGAGCGGTTCAAGGGAAGGAGAAAGTGATGGGAGGCGAGGCTAAGATCATGTAAGTATTTTCATAAATGCTGTAAATGAGTTCAGGTTTTATCTTGGAAGGCGGGTCAATTTAAAGAAATGTAAACCAGAAAGAGATCTGTTCTGATTGATGTCCTACAGAGATGACTGGCAGGGTGGGTTGGAGAGGGTGAAACCTCGCTCCTCTTAGGAAGGTTTCAGAGAGATTGAAACAAGGAGGGGCTGTGGAAAGGCCGTGATGGTGGAAAAGGGCAGAATCAGCAGGATTTGGTGATGGGTGGGATGGTGGGGTGAGGGAGTAAAGGAGGGTGGCTCCGGCTTTCTGCTTTGGGTATGTGATTGGAGGTTATTCACTTAGAAAGAAAAATACATAAGGGTAAGCACTCGGGGGG